CTCAGGAGCCAGGCAGAAGGAGAAATCCTACACAAAACAGGCTCTAGAGCAATGTGGATATCCTAACTGGGCCTTCCTGAAAGCAGAGAAGAAACCCAAACAGGACTCCAGTCAGCCATCAGGTGAAAAAGAGGAACCCAGACCCAGACCAGTGGTCATTCCGTATGTTGAGGGGGTATCAGAGAAACGGAGACGTTTATTTTCTAAACATAACGTCCCAGTGGCTTTTAAACCCCAAAATACATTACGGCAAAGACTGGTTCATCCCAAAGATCCAGTCCCCCGGCACAAACAGAGTAATGTTGTGTATGCTGTTCAGTGTCAGGAGGGCTGTGATCAGTCTTACATCGGAGAAACAAAACAGCCACTGGCCAAAAGGATGGCCCAGCACAGAAGATCAACATCATCAGGCCAGGACTCTGCGGTCTACACTCATCTCCAGGCCAGCGGTCACTCTTTCAGGGATGAAGATGTTCACATCCTGGAAAGAGAGGAACGATGGTTTGAGAGAGGAGTAAAGGAGGCCATCCATCCATCCATCCATTTTCTTCCGCTTATCCGGGGTCGGGTCGCGGGGGTAGCAGCCTAAGTAGGGAGGCCCAGACTTCCCTCTCCCCAGCCACTTGGGCCTGCTCTTCCGGGGGAATCCCGAGGCGTTCCCAGGCCAGCCGAGAAACATAGTCCCTCCAGCGTGTCCTGGGTCTTCCCCTGGGCCTCCTTCCGGTGGGACGTGTCCGGAACACCTCACCAGGGAGGCGTCCAGAAGGCATCCTAAACAGATGCCCAAGCCACCTCAACTGGCTCCTCTCGACATGGAGAAGTAGCGGCTCTACTCCCAGTCCCTCCCGGATGATCGAGCTTCTCACCCTGTCTCTAAGGGAGAGCCCAGACACCCTGCGGAGAAAACTCATTTCGGCCGCTTGTATCCGAGATCTCATTCTTTCGGTCACAACCCAAAGCTCGTGACCATAGATGAGGGTGGGAACGTAGATCGATCGGTAAATTGAGAGCTTCGCCTTTTGACTCAGGTCTCTCTTCACCACGACAGACCTGTACAGCGCCCGCTTCACTGCAGACGCTGCACCTATCCGCCTATCGATCTCACGCTCCATTTTTCCCTCATTCGTGAACAAGACCCCAAGATACTTGAACTCCTCCACTTGGGGTAGGACCTCCTCCCTGACCCGGAGAGGGCACTCTACCCTTTTCCGGCTCAAGACCATGGCCTCGGATTTGGAGGAACTGATCTTCATCCCGGCCGCATCGCATTCGGCTGCGAACCGCTCCAGCGAAAGCTGTAGATCACGATCTGATGAAGCCAATAAGACCACATCATCTGCAAAAAGCAGAGACGCAATCCTAAGGCCACCAAAACGGATCCCCTCAACACCTTGGCTGCACCTAGAAATTCTGTCCATAAAAGTTATGAACAGAATCGGTGAGAAAGGGCAACCTTGGCGGAGTCCAACTCTCACCGGGAACAAGCCCGAATTACTGCCGGCGATGCGGACCAGGCTCTGACACCGGTCATACAGGGACCTAACAGCCCGTATCAAAGGGCCCGGTACCCCATACTCCCAGAGTACCCCCCCACAGGGCCCCCCGAGGGACACGGTCGAACGCCTTCTCCAAGTCCACAAAGCACATGTAGACTGGTTGGGCAAACTCCCACGCACCCTCCAGGACCCTGCTGAGAGTGTAGAGCTGGTCCAGTGTTCCACGGCCAGGACGAAAACTGCACTGTTCCTCCTGAATCCGAGGTTCAACTATCCGACGGACCCTCCTCTCCAGAACCCCCGAATAGACCTTACCAGGGAGGCTTAAGAGCGTGATTCCCCTGTAGTTGGAACACACTCTACGGTCCCCCTTTTTGAATAGGGGGACCACCACCCCGGTCTGCCAATCCAGGGGAACTTCCCCCGATGTCCACGCAATATTGCAGAGTCGCGTAAGCCAACACAACCCTACAACATCCAGAGCCTTAAGGAACTCCGGGCGAATCTCATCCACCCCTGGGGCCCTGCCACCGAGGAGCTTTTTAACCACCTCAGTGACCTCAGCACCAGAGATTGGAGGGCCCGACCCAGAGTCCCCAGGTTCCGCTTCCTCAGTGGAAGACGTGCTGGTGGGATTGAGGAGGTCTTCAAAGTATTCCGCCCACCGACCCACAACATCTTGAGTTGAGGTCAGCAGCACACCACTCCCACTATAAACAGTGTTGGTGGCGTACCGCT